TCACATAAAGTCACATTGAGTCTTCGGGAGCCTATAAAAGTTTACGAAAGATTTTAAAAGTTTACCGAAGGATTTCAATGTCATCCAAGACATAAGACGAATCAAAAGACTCTCAAATCTGTGAAAAACTGAAAAAGTTTCGAAAAAATTATCAATTCGTTTGACGTCGCGTAAAGTCTTTGGACGACTTTAAAGTCTCTCTAATCTTTTATAAATTGAAAAGAAAAAACTTTCGGAAATACTTTCATTTGAAGTTACATTGAGGCGCCTTGGGAGTCTCGAAGAATTTATGAAATACTGATAGTCTCCAAAAGTGTACGGAAGACTATAAAAATTCCACTAAAGGGTTTCAATGTCATCCAAGAGTTTTGATGCCTTTAAAGTCTCCCAAAGACTTAAAATGACTTTCAAGCGATTTGAAGTTTACGGAATATTTTGAGAGTCCACCGTAAAGTTTCAAAATCATCTATGACTTTACTTCTCAAAGTACCTCTCACGGACTTTCAAGTGCGCATCAGCCCCTCGAGCGCCGATTTATCGTCGAATAGTTCCACTTTACGCTCAATCAGTACCCAGCGATCTTCCGACATATTTATATAGTCTTTCTTTATTTCAGACAAAAAAAAAAAAAAAAAAAAAAAAAAAAAAAGAAGCAAGGGATGATTATTCAAATTACGTTGTGTACCGCCCTTCGCCCATGCCTCGTCCCCTCCTCAGTGGCGGATCGCGCTAGTATACACGCGGTAGTGATGTAACATTAGCAGAGAGCAAAGGGTCGCCGCGGCGATAGTCCGAAAAACAAGCCGCTACGCGCGCGTACAAACTGCCGAAAATTTTGTTTGGAAAGCCTCCAGCGGCAATAAACTCGGCTCTTCATCCACTTCCCCCGGGCCCCTGGAGTCCAGCCAATCCGCGCGCACTGGCAAAAAGTGTAAGGAGACGAATTGCCAGCGCCAACGAACAATCTGCAACACACCCCCTTTTTTTTCCCTTTCTTTACGGGGAGGGAAAAAAATTACGTCTGTCTTGTAAAAAGTTTTTTTTTTTTTTTTTTTTATCACTCGTTTCCTGGTACAGAGCTGCGAACTTTGGTGCCTACGCTTGCGCTTTTTTGCGAAATTAACAATGAACTCTACGAGATTTTTGGGAGAAACTTTGTACAAAATAATACATCTAGACGAGGCCTAAGGTAAAGTCACCTATTATACGGAGCAAAAAAACATTATTAAACACAGCCTTTTTTTTTTAAATAAAAACAAATGGTCGTGTTGTACCATCACAGATATACCGAATCTCATTTTATTTTTTCATTTGGAATTGAACACATATTATAATTATTAGTTGAAAAATTGTATTGTTCCCCCTTTAAACTTGGTAACGGTAAAACTGTCAAAACTGCCCCCGTATGGTAGGCAATGTTACCCCACCAAAGTCTCATATATTTTCGAGACTACCGAGATTATCGAAATTCTTGGTCAACTGTCAGCCCCTCCGTTCTTGGAAACGACGCGTAAATTCCTTCCGAAAAAATCCGAGAGATGTGCCGGTCGATTGTCCATCGTAAAATTTCCCACGAGCTGAACGCACTTGCGCAACATTCCCTCCCGAGCGAGGAAACACCGACACCATTTTACGACCAACCTACACAATAATTATAATCACACCATCCACAGCTAAACGCATTACACCGACACTACTGCATGGCAGTGTCGAGATTTTCACTTCAGCGGCTTGTTTTTCGTGCCAAAAGCCCTTTATATATATAAATATATACACTATGCAATAATAAACGTCGCCTCTCCGCGCCTTTCAATTAGCCTCGGAATCAATTTGCACGCTCGTTGATTACACCACTGGAGAGAAGGAAAAAATATCCCCACCCTAACACAACCCCCTTCGGCTACGGATCGCGTGTTACGGGATATATATATACACAGGGAAAATTCCGATGTGTGTGTTTGTAACAGATAACGCGGGACGACAGTGCAGCGCGTGAGAACGGAGGCGCCAAAGTTTTTCGGGTGATGTACCCGGCAATTTTCGTTATACACTGCAGCCTTTTGCCGCTGGAGCCAATCCAGCGCCGATCGCCAAACTGCGAGTGGACGCGTTTTTTTTTTTTTTTTTTTTTTTTTTTTTTTTTTTTTTTTTTTTTTTNGCTCGGGAAAAACGTCACGTAACGTTAAAAAAAAAAAAAAAAAAAAAAAAGGTACACTATATGCATCAGAGATAAGCCCGCCGATCGAGATCGCGAAGAAGCGAGCCCTGGGGGGCCCCCGCACTAGACTTCCAACGGTGGTCTCTTCCGTGAGACCATCATTTGAGATTCCGTCAGACACGACACGAATCACTGTACATTATACATAATATAATATAATACACGTACTTAAGTGCCGTTCCGAGGGTATACACCAATGCGACAATGTCTCTTTTTCTTCGGACGGCAAAACGCGCAATTTTCGCCGGCAAAGCGGATCACCACGCGGATTGAGCGATCCGAGAGAGAGTTTGCGCTGGACAGAGAAAAAAAGTATATATACACTCGAGAGAAGCTCCAGTTGTACGTGAGGCTGGAGCACTTGCGTTGTAAGTATACACACACTCGGTGGGCACGCCGTGGTATATACCGATCCAAAACGTATACTCACGGTACGTACGTTAATTTATTTATACCAAGACTATACTTCCCGGTAGCTGTATAGCAGCGACCTTTTTTTTTTTTTTTTTTCCTCTTCGCCTTATACCGTGTAGAGACACTGTACGTACCGAATTAAACTTGTTTTACTCGCAAGAAAGAGAGAGAAGAAAAAAAAAGGTCGTTATTCCACGGCGCGTAAAGTGGGAAAATTCAGCATCGTGAATCATACGTACGTGTACATGTATAAGCGAGATGAAAAAAAAAAAAAAAAAAAAAAGAGGAAACGGGTTTCTTTCCTTCTTCATCGTTGATTTACGACTGTCTCGTTATATATATATACGTGCGTGCACGTGAAAAATCTGATACGCGCTATCAATTGGAGATAGCCTTCCTCTTTCGATAAAGTGTGAGATTAAAACCGTTGGGATGGGGTTATTGATATATATTCTGTGTTATTTTAATTGTTTCTTTTCAACCGTTTTCAAAAATCTTTTCAGTAGTTCTCGCTTCGATGACATCATTCTTAACGACTCAACATCATCGAAGAGCACACGTATATAACCGACGGCCAACAAATCAAATGCTCGATGGGTATATACACACACAGCGATCGGATCGGTATTGTTATTGATCAGTGACCTGGTGTACAGATTAGCGTTTAAACATTTTTGTCAAGCCACGTATATTTTCCGCTCGAGTGGCCATTTATACCTATGCCAATCGACGTCGGTAACCTACGAGCAACTAGTCGATCAGGCACTTCGCTTGTATATATAGGGTCGTGGCTTGATTAATCGTTCCCGCGCATCTAGATCGATTAAACGAAAGTACAATACCATGAAAAAATCGGTGACGTTGTGCAAACATCAGGTCATATATATTTATCGAAATTATTCCACTCGGATAGTATACAAACAACTTCATTGTACCCATACTCGAGAGATAAAGCAAATAACATTATTATACTTACCCTCTAAATTGAGAGTCTCGAGTCAAATCACAACCATACAAGTACAATAATATTTACAGTCTCGCGAGGCGCTGATTTAACACACGTGGTATGGCATGAAAATTCTTGACTCAGCCAAGGTCATGGCACTTCTTCAACCTCATGAACACTCTTCTCTTCTTCGATACAAGGGGGGGCGTATAGAAGATGATTCATTGCACCAATGAGAGAAAAGCGAGGGGCAGGGTCATCTCGTATCTACATGTATATACAAGCGGGGAAAATTATTTCGGAGCTCGTATATATGTATCACAACCTCGTGGTCTATATGTATCGTTTAGCTGATAAGTGATCGCTTAATGGAACACACACAAGCGAGCTCCAAATGAAAGTCAAAACATCTTATCTCCAGAATTATGTCCTGCAAAATCCTCCCTATGGATGACATGTAAGCATGTGTGTATCTTCTAATCGGCCCAATAGTTAAACATGTATACATACGAATGGCGCCCTCTTTGCAGGCTTGTGATGTTTCCACGAGGATTTTCCTACTTTAAGAAAAAAGACCGTCTAGACGGATAGGGAGGGGGGACAACTGTTTTTACGACCAGACTTGTCAAGTCCTTCAAGTTTGACGTTTTCGTCCCATCACCGGCACACCTGCAGGAAATTCTGGAAAAAGCGCTTCTCTTCCCCGCGTATACTGCCCGGACTGTATCGTAAATTTGAAACTCGAGGGCCGGGCTGATCTGCCGCGTACCTCTCAGACAATCATGGACGCATAAATATGCATCTTCGGGTGATTCATCCTCCTTCCAATGAGATATGGCAAATGTCATATTTTTTGCGACATCGGTCTGTACAAGTTGTAACAGCTACATATAGCCATACCTGGTATAGGGTGACTGAAACCATATAATACCGATACCCCGTCGGATATAAAGATCCAGAACCCCTGTATGTGGCTGATTATCCTGTAAATATATGGCTCAAAGTGCCTAAAAAGATCGTTTGAAAAAAACAACATTTCGTTGAAAAAAAATAATTTTTCATGATAATTTTACCTCAAGTACCATCCACAACAAATACCCAAAGCGATTGTACTACAAAGTATTTTTTACACAAGTCAAAAAACACGTCTGCTCTACGTGCCACGGCAATGAAGAAATTGAGATTGGGACAGGGTACAGAAGCAACATTTTGACCATATTTTCTTAATTATCTAACTCGTTGCACAGATAACACACCTATAGTTTGTAGTCGTTGACGCATGTTCGAAACGAACACACCTACTCCAAGTACCGGATATTGTCGGAGCGCTTGTGTATATATAATGTATATGTATAGCGACTAAGTGAATCGCTACGTTGATAACCTGCAAACAGTCGGGTCGAGTGAGCAGCCTGTAATACAATGGCACCGGAATCGGGAAAACCATCCCCGTGTCCTGATTTCACGCGGGTCGCTACCGTTAATCACGACGCTTTCTGCTGGGACGTTGTTTTCAGTAACCCAGCCCGCAGAGTCGGAGAAACACTGGGCTCGCCTTTTTTTTTCGTCAACGGCCACACGTGGGAGCTGACCCTCCACCCCAAACCCACGGTTCCCGAGACCAAGGATCGCAGATCGGACCTGGTGTGCGTGACCTTGTTGAGCAAAAAGTACGCGAGGACGCGTTACTGCGTGAGCATACTTGACAACGAGAGACAAGTTATTTACTCGTCCGGGGTGCAGGTGACGTTATTCGAGCCCAAAGTGCCCGTGGGCGTCGACAGGTTTCGCAAGATTCGCTTCGGTGGAACCGTGGTCAAGGTGTCGGTGTTGTGCGAGATGTGGCCGGAAAACGGCCCGACCGGACACCTCAGTTGCAAGCACCTCTTCGACAGCAAGGACTTTAGCGACTTGACGGTGTTGGTAGACGGCAGGGAGATCAGGGCGCACAAGTTGGCGTTGGCAAACAAGAGCGCCGTGTTTGGGGTCATGCTGGGGCGCACCACTGCGAGTCACGTCACGTTAACGGACGTGGGGCACGATGTGATGACGGAGCTGATCAGGTACGTGTATTACGGACGAGTCGACGATATGGAGAAAATAACGAAGGAACTCATGGTGGCTGCATTCCGATTCGGTATGTGGGACTTGATCGGTGTATGCGAGACGGTTTTGATGGACAATCTCAACAACGCCAATGTCAGCGATTACTTGAAAGTAGCCGTTAAGTGCAACGCTCGGTTGTTGAAGGACGAAGCTTTGGAAGAGTTTGTTAAATCTCCGTAGACTTTTTTTTGAAGTGAAAACTTCTTATGGCGCGTTGGGCACTTTTGTGGGTGAGCATTTTCAGCCGTTCTCGCGACAGACGAGATTTTACACAGATATACTCCGCGTATATTCTTATAATATATGTATACTATACGCGCTCTTTGCATGGGCATTCGTTCGTGCTCTCGCAACAGACGAGATTACATACCTATATGTATACTCAGAGTGTATAGGTATGCGAGAGCGCGANGTAGGGGTAAACGGTACAGTTATTGACACCTTAAGGTAGTGATTGACCCCTGTATAATTTGTATACCTATATATAAAGGCTCCATTTAAAAATGCATGTGGCGGTCAATCACTATCGGGGGGTCAACAACTGTACCGTTTCCCCCTACCGCTGCTTCAACGCTAGACTTTTTTTTTTTTTTTTTTTTGTCTTTTATCACGATGGAGGAAATGTGATTTTTTTTTTTTTTTTTTTCATCCATTTTCACTTTCTCTGTATAAACATACTCTTCCCCTCTCGTTTATGCACGCGCGTATATATCGCTGCAATTTTAATAGTTCGGGGGCACTTTGGTCCTGCAACCACGTCAAAATTGTAAGCTCGACAATTCTGCACTATACAACGAGACAGCTCGTTCTTTGCATTTTCTCTCCTTTGCCTGCCCCCCCCCCCTCCCTTTCATCCTCGATGCCGGTTTTCTTTGAAGCGAACGAACCTGTTTTTTTTTTCTCTCCATCTCGTTATAAGATACGGAGAGGTGGCTCGCGTTATGCTTTGTAAATTTGATGAACCTTCACATCAGCACGTATATACCGATACGGCTATACCGAGTGATTTTTCCACTCAAAGTGCACTTTGCACGTGACTTTTTTTAAATTTCTTTCGTTCCTTAGATCGAAAGGCGAGCGCGAAGGTCGCTAAGTTAATACACAATGTATCTCTGCTATACTTTGTGCACGTATATATATGTGAGTGTGTGTGTACCACGACGGGAGCAATACCATATATTATGCGCGCGACACTATATACATATATATATATATATATGCCGGTACGTGTATAATATGTAAGTGCAAATGCGTATCATTTTTTTTTCCGCGAGAGTTGAGAAATGACGTCTGTGCGCGCTTATCAAGAGCATGAATAATTAATGTCGAAAACTAGAATGGCCAAGGTGTATAATTATATATACGTGCATGATACGTGTGTATATAGATACCGAGCTGCAGCATGGGAGCATATTGTGAAAGCTTCGGGTTACACATTATAATATGTATACACACCTCGTACTTAATCAGCAGCTGTTGGTAGACGTTTACTTGTTTAGGTTTTACTCGATTTATATATATATAAGCCAATCCAGCGCCGATCGCCAAACTGCGAGTGGACGCGTTTTTTTTTTTTTTTCTTTTTTCACGTATATATAATATAATATACACGCGGCAGCTGCGCGAGTTTGTTCTTCTCCTTTTTTTTTTTTCCATACAAGCGATTAGCATTAAAATGCAGTTTCGTGCTTTTTTGCAATAAAACACGCAGCTTGTGATCGTCGGCCCCAGGTGTTTATAACTAAACTTTAGCTTATAGCGCCGCGCAAAGGATATATTATATTTTGTCGCTGTTGTTGTTGTTTTTTTTTTTTTTTTTTCAAGCTATACATTATTTGCTTTAGGGTTTAAAGTTCCCTCGAGTTGTCCGAACTATATAACCCTATTTCCCGAACGATCAGAGCAAAAGTCCAGGCCCGGCACGTATAGATGTACTACTGTGTATTCAGAAGCTATGCACCACTAATACTTACATACACGGAAGCACCAAGGAGGAATCGCTCGCGGGTTCGCTGAACCTGAGTTCATCGGTCACACGTACAGGAGTACCTACACACACACACGTATCGCACAGCCTCTCTCTCTCTACTCCTGTATAGGTACCTATATACGTACTCTTTGGCCAAGGATTCCCTTATTCGGACAGGACGCGCGCGCGTCAGCAAAAACTAGCTCTCGCTCCACCACCTCCTCCCGTCGGTTAATATACATATATATATATAATGAAAAGCGTGACTCGCGGGAGATCGACGAGCTCTCCTTAATCGTGTAGGTCACGGAGGTGATTAATTTTTCCTTTTTTTTTTTTTTTTTTTTTTTTTTTTTTTTTTTTTTTTTTTTTT